GGGGGGGGGGGGGGGGGGGGGGGGGGGGGGGGGGGGGGGGGGGGGGGGTATAGGATCGTGCACGTGACGACGACTTTTCAAACATTCTGACATTGTCATGAAACTGTTGCACAAGAATGCGTTTCGCTTCTACCGTGATTTTATGACGAATGCTTAGTGATGCGTATTATATACAACGTCTCCCTTCGGGGCTGTGTGTCTTGTTGTCGTTGTTGATGAGCAGGTTTTTAATGCTCGCTCGTATTCCGTACAAAACATCGCGCACGTAGTTACTCTACATTGGAGCGAGCTCGAGCGGACAACTTCTTGCGAGCGAAAAATCAGACTTCTTCCATGATGTCTTGGTTATGATGGTGCATTTCCAATGGTTTGTGGACGAACGGATGGAGACGCTTTGTGGCAAATACCTACGCCAGGTTTTGTATATGTTTCTCAAGTGGTCGTGTTCGTGTAGGTTGGATGATTGTTAATAAAGGGCTTCAAGATGGTAATTGTATCAAGCAGCGGGGCTGTTTGGGGCACTTGGATACAAGATCCGATCTGACGAGTGTGTGTGTGGGGACTATGCTGATGGGGGTCCAAGTACGGGGCCCCTCGAACGAGAGCACGGACATGTGCTCACTCACTGAACTTCTCCATCGTCTCTTGCTCTATACTTCTGTGTGGTGGAAGGAGCACGGCGTGTAGTAATCAAGCTTTTGTGTCATCTATGCAAACATCGGTCCTGGATCAACATCGTCCCCAGATACAACCCATAATACCGTGGGAAGGCGCGGTAGCCTCCGTGGCAAGGCACGGAAGAAGCTTCGGATACATGCATACATAACATACAACCACAAATGATAGCCCGCACTGAAGAACTTGCTTCATGCTCAACATGTGATCAAATATAAGAAAGAACTTGGCCATTTGTTAGCCGGGCGGGTAGGAACCTACGCTAACCTAGTAAACAGCGGCCACCTGCAGCCCACAAGAGTGTGAGCCGCAAGTATCAGCTAGAGGGCGCTATCTTTATCTGGTTATTGGTCGATTGTTCAGATTCTCGGTAAACAATTGTAGGAGGGCCATCTGTTGTCTAAAAGCGACCAGCGACCCCGACGCAAGGCTGCCCGTAGACAAGAGGTAGATTCGGGAGCTACGATCAGGGAGCACATGGACGTGTATGCTGGCGAGAACGGACCAAAAAACTTACTCCGGAGTACTTACATACCGTAAATGACACAAGATAACACACCCCCTGGACCGATTTTCAAAACTCGATTTCTCAACAACAGAAAGAGTCACGGCGCCGAAAACGGCGGCGGTGGAACCGTCTCGTCGAGAGCTTTCCAAAAATGTATCGTTTCGTTTATGCATCCTCTTCGTTGTGGAATAATCGAGCTTTGAAGCTTGGTCCAGGGGTGTGTTATCTTGCGTCATATACGGTAGCTTAGGTCCGGATCTCTTCCGAAGTACAGAGTCAGGGCTGGCAGCTGGCAGCCGGGGAAACTACATGGAGGCAAACAACCCGCAGGGCACAGATGTACATACCGTATATGACTTGAGATAACACACCCCCTGGACCGATTTTCAAAGCTCGATTACTCCACGACGAAGAGGTTGCATAAACGAAATGATACATTTTCGAAAAGCTCTGGACGAGACGGTTTAAACGCCGCCGTTTTCGGCGCTGTGACTGTTCCTGCAGTTGAGAAATCGAGCTTCGAAAATCGGTCAAGGGGGTGTGTTATCTTGTGTCATATACGGTACGCATGGATATAACGCCCCTTGCATCTTTGACGTGCGAGTGCATAGGCATCTGGCCTGCGGCGGTGTGACGCTGCTCGGGGTAATAGGAGAAAGCGAGTACTCCGATGTTTTAGAGCGTAATACCCTAGACTACTACAGCACTTGAGCAGTACTACCCTGCCACTGGCGTACAGAGTTGACCTCGTATTAAGAGCTAAGAGAGAGCGACCGAGAGAAATGGGTCCACGGGGAATTTGTGAGAAGACAGAATGGAATGTGGACCCTTACGATCTCTCAGCCATTGCCTGGTTCCTCCCCGTAACTCAGGATTAGATATACGCGGCAGACAACGGCAGCCCAGCCCTCAACACCACGAAAGAAGACACCCCGACACGCGGGAGCGTACCACCTATGTTGTACACATGCATTTTTCACACACACACACACACACGTCCCCAGAGCACTCTGCTCTGCACTGCTGAACAAATCTACCGGAACATCTACATCCAGCCATCATCATCATTCATGTACACACCACCGGGAGCTGCGTCTCTCACGGGAGGGAGAAACACTTCACGCACAGCCTGTAACTTGGCAATGGCTACCAAACCAGCGATGGACGGACTATCTTTCTGAAAAAAGGCTGCACTTTACCATCATCATTGTCCAAAAGCAACAGGTTCGCAAAAGATGGGCAGCCGCTTCCCTCGTCCGCCAACCGAATGCACACACCTCTGTTGTCGAACATGATCTTCCGGTCACCGCCTGACCGCCACGCCCTAGCGCTCTGCTGGAAATGAGGGTCGACAGGAGCTGTTTCCCCGCGCTCTACCCTTGCGCCGACTCCCCTCTCGGCTACCGCGAGACGGTTTGCGCTCGGTGTTCTGGGCCCTCCCGCTTTCGACGTCGTCTGTACCACACCATTCCCCCGCGTGGGAGTACTCGGTGCCTCCATCTCTCCGAAGGGCTAGCGTGGTATCGCTTGCTACCCGCTCCTTTATCCCCCTGTACAACAAGCTGCTGGCGGGTTTGTGATGTCAAATAATATTGCGCGTCGATCCGTCGATCCCAATCTTTTTCCTACTTTTTCCGAATTTCAACAAACAATTATTGAATTCGAATCATTTTGGGGAAAATCGGGGAAAAGTTCCGGAACATCGGAAAAAATCAGAAAATCGACGACATCGGCAAAACACCACATGATACGAAGCACCATGGAACGCATCCGATCCCCGACGACAACCGACACATACAAAGCATACAGAAGAAGATTGCCCCGGAGAAACATTGCATTGGACATGCAGGTTGCGCACTTTGTGACGAGATATTTGCATCAGTCAGTATGGAGCGGTGGTTCGCCACTGACAGCTGTGTGTGCAGCCACCGCTTCACTCCGATTCCTCCTCATTATCCTTCCTTTCTCTCTCAGACTCGCTCTCGCTCTCGCTCACTCCCAGGCAGCACTGAGCAAGAGGGAGCGCATGGAAACACCGCAAGGTTGCTGCTGCTATCAACTACTTTATCGTGCCGCTACTTGCCTAATGTCGGAATATCGGGAGTCTGCGTGGTGGTCGCTGGTAATTCTGACAGATAGATACAGACATACCCGCTTTTGTTTTTTTCTTTGCTGGCTGCCTGCCACCTCTGCTGCCTCTTTGGTGCGGTGCCTACCCTACACTAATGCGCTGGTGCATACTGCACTGCTGTAGTACCTGGTACGTTGTCCTTCGTTTTTTTTTTTTTTGTGGGAATATATATGTGTTTGTTTTTCGCCCCCCGTCTTGCTGCACCCCCTGGGGTGTGGTGCAGGGCGGGGGATGCCTGGTCGGCGGGAACCCGGCACGGAACCCTCCGGCNAGGGGTCGTGTATGACTTCAGACAGCAGCTTTGTGCCCCGCCAGCTTCTTGTTCCATGCCTACCATGGTGTTTTTGTACAGACAGCACTTCAGACAGCAAGTATGCTGTAGTCGGCAATCATTCGTTTTGGTACAGAGTGGGACA